TAAAGTCAGATTTTTGATCGTGAACTAGATAACCTGGTTCTTTCATCAAATCTGCTTTCCGCTTCCTCTCCTCAACTTTTTTTTCTTTCTTTCTACTCTTCTTCAGTTCATCTCGGCACTTCTCATCCTCCTTTCGCTGCTGTTCATCTTCTTGATAACTTGAAATGAATAAAAAGGATGAAGTAATAGAAAGGTAGTGCTTACAGTTGGTAAACTCTTTCAATGTCTTTCTGACTGGGAGATCGAGCCCATACTCTGTCGTTACCCTTTTCAAGAAGCTCCATGCGCATTTGTCTTCTTCTATAAATTATTGCGTAGCTATTTTAGTCAGAATATTTTTCTTACAAAGTCCATCTTTTTTCCTCCCTTTGTTGAGCCGTTTCCTCTTCGTCTTCAATGGCCCGGCGTTCTCGGCCTCTTCTGTGCCTTATCGAGCTTCTGAACACCTCAATGTTAATGGTTTTATGAAGCTTTCAAAACCTGATTGGGCTTCTCGAGCGAGACCTTGATTTACTGCTGGAACTACGAACAGATTCTTTCCGTTTCCCGTCAGCACGGCTGCGAAACATGAACGGCTTATCTTCATTGTCCGAAGATCCTCTACGTTGAGGCGTTCGCCTCCTCTCTCTCACAGGCGATCGTACTGGAGAACGTCTTCTCTCCCTCGTATAAGAACTCTTTGGCGATCGTCTTCTGTCTCCAGCCAGTGAATACTTTGGAGAACGTCGTCTTTCCCTTGTAGGAGATCGCTTCCTATCGTTTGGAGAATGACGTCGTTCTCTGGGAGAAAAACTTCCTCTAATATTGGAGCGAGGTGCTTTTCTTTCCTCATCATCAGAGGAAGCAAAACTTCTACGACTAGGAGGTGAATTTCTCTTATTTCTGGACGATGATCGATTTCTATTTTTTGAGTTAAAAGAATCAGACAGTTTTCTACTTCTTATTCTTTCTTCAGAACTCGATCTGCTCTTCCGGCGCCGTTCTCTAGATCTAGAACGATAGTTTTCTTTCTTTGCAGGAGATCTAAATGAACTTAAATGAAGAAAATATTTTAGTCAGAACACACCTAGAGCACCGTCTTACTGGGGATTCAGATGACTGCGAATGTTTACTGAAACAAAGGTTTTAAGAGAAGATTCAGTATAACTGTTGGATTTCAGAGCTCATTAAGAAATTGAAATAAGTAGGAACGATTGGATCTACAGTACCCTGACAGGATCAAGTGAAAGGTACCGGGAAGCAAATAAGTTCACATATATTTACATGATACATAAAGACAGTAATTTAGTTGGAACAACGAGTTTGTGAGAAGCGGAAAAAGCATATATTAAGATCGGTTTACGCACCTTTTTTTGGAACTTCTCTCTTCCGAGACTTTTTTGGAAGATGAAGTGGTTGAGTTAGACAAATTTGAATTTTCCCCATTATCACCCTATAATCAGATTATAAAAATATAGTAGAGAGCGAATGATACCGTAGAATCATCGTCACTAGAAGTATCAAACTTCAATTTTTTAGAGCTTAATGGTCTAAATTGCTTTATATGGACAAAAAATAAAGTTGACACTACCTGCTGATCCTGGAGTTTTGCTTAGGAGTACCATTTCCGGAAGAGCTGGTAGACGGCAAAGATATGGACTCAGAATCACTCGAATCTGCCATATTATTAGTTTCGAAACTATATTTCTAGCTTCGTTTCACAAGGGTCAATGAAGAGGGACGCTATTTTGGCGGAAAGCCAAAACGTTATCCGTCCGAGACCAATTATTCCGTATGCGCCAACCTAACCATTCATGCCTCGACACTGATTTTCATACTAACACTTAATTTTAATATTTAATTTATTGACTATAAATATGGAAAAGTTGTATCAAGAAAGTAATGGTATTCTTCACAATGTTCAAATGTTTCTTGGACAATTGGAACGGTCCGGAAATGAGAGCGAAGCTCATAAGCTAATGCAAGACATCCACAGCGGATTAAGGTTGATGGTTTATTTTCTCGGTGCTTTTTCTTAAATCAAAACTATTTTAGAGGTTTAGAGCAAAATACGGAACGATTGGACATATTAGTAAGCAAGGAAGTTCCTGCAAGGCGACCTATGGTAATACTTTTTGTCTCAGTTCCGCATACGTTCCGATTTTGTTTAAGTTAAGAGTCAAAATTGATCAGCTGAAAGCAGACTCTCAGAGGGTGGAGTTAGCAACAAGTACCATGTACACTAGGCTAACCCAAAAGTGGAGAAGTGCTACTGAGAGAGAAGAGCTTTTGAAACAGCGGTCTGAATTTAGTTATTACTGACATGACGTTCAGTTTCAGTTACCGTCCAAATGAGTCGACCACTGTAAATGTTGATGATATGGAATTGGCAATGAATGATCGTCTTCATTCTTCTCATAACCAAGTGATTATTAAATAAGAAACCTACATGAATTTATTGTTTTTCGAGATGGACGATCTGATTTCTCAAGGTGCCGCAGTCCTGGAAAGTCTGAAATCTCAAGGAATGGGATTGAAAGGTGTCCGCAGAAAGATGATGGATATCGGCGCAGCGGTGAATTTAATCTCACATCACCTTATTGTGATTTCTTTGCTTTTAAGCTCGGTTTATCCAGTACGACGCTGAAGATGATAGACAGAAGAGTACAAGAAGATTGGGTAATCTTTCTTGTAGGATGCGTGGTTACATTGCTTTTCATGTATGTCTTCTATCGATTCTGGAAAAGTTGATTTACTTAATTTATATTTACCTTTTAAAATTGTGCTAAGGTTCGGGTTTTTGTAAAAATTTATAGAAATATCATTCCAATGTTTAGTCTTAGGCGTTCATAGATAATTGCCCCAATAAGTGAAACCATTACTATCTGTTCATGGTATGAATGGTTTCCACCGTGTACTACAAGTGTGATGTCATCGCGCTTCAAGTAGAGTTTTGACTAATTTCTTGACCGACAATGGGGAGATGACAAAAAAGTGATTATATTCGATTTACCAATAATCTCGAGTTCGCATTGTTCTTGAGTTCGGGCACAATAGAAGATGGCAAAAGTCTTCATGACGCTGAAAGGAGTTTGCTGGATGTCTCAGAAGTATAAGAGAAAGTTTATTTATTTTTTCAGTTTACAACATTTTCGCCATTAAATGGCTAATTGCCGGGCATTTCAAAAGCATATGATTTAATGTAGAGATCTTGATTTCTAATCGGGAGTGGTTAACACGTAAGTGTACTTGTGGAGATGCGTCTGATACAAACTCTTCAAGCAACTGTTTCATGAAATCAGACATGACTATGACCCATAAGAAAGGAATATACGACAAGTCATAGAGCGCAACCCGTCAATTCCAAGAGAATGAATGCTAAGCTAACTGAGGTTGTCTAAAACTGATCAGCTAAGTTGATCATAATAAGCCGCCATTGTCTCTTATTAAAACCAAATATCTCTGTATACATGGCTGCCAAAATGTTTATAGGCACAAACTGCAGAAGGAGCGCTGAAAATGTCAATTTTATAAGAATTACAACGCTCAACTGTTTACTAGATCTATTTACACATTCTTTAAGGAATGTCACGATCCCCTTAGGCATGTCTTCAGGATAGTTCTGAAAACATCTATGCTGAAGAATGTTGAGAACATCGTTACCGGATGTGAGAAATAAGCCAAATTGACGCCTTGTTTAAGATGAAATTTGGAAAAAATAATTGTAAGAAAAGAAATGACTGAAGCGGAGAATCTTGAGAGAATCAGAGGATACGACGCGTCCCCCCAAACTATTGTGAGTTCTTCGACAGCCATTACATTCTCAGCCAAACGCCGTAGAACAAAAAGCCAATCCTTTTTGCTAGTCATGCGATTAGCTTCGATAGTGATTTGCATGTTCTGGAACACTATTCATGGTTTTTAGTTTGAAGAAAAGTAACTACCTTCCGTCGTTGAATAAGATCACAAACTCGTTTGGCATAACTCGAGTGCTCTGTTCCTGACGGAACACATAAGTCTATTGAACACTAAAAATAGTTTTCATCAGAAGAATTTACATGCTTAGGCATTACCGAAGGCGCGAACTGAAGTGTTGCATGCAAGTAAGTAGGAAGGGTGAATATAGAATGTTTTAAAGGCATTTTTGGTCCATACACCACAAACTGAAAATTTTCAAAACTCTCGGACTGAAAATTTTGATTTACCCTATTAGCTTCAGCTTTTTCTAGAGGTAAATCTGCTTCTACGCTATGAATGAAATCCAACTCTTCAGATGACCATTCCACATCTATCATGTCAGACTCAGCAATAAGCTCCCCAACTCCTCCAGAAAGAAGTTCCAACCTCAGCTGAAAGATAAGTTAGATGTTAAGACACAAAGGTATTACTGAACCTGATCCGACATATATTGCCTGGCTTTTTCTGGAGTTGACAGAACTTTCAGTCTTTCTATATAATTATCTCCAAACATATCTTTCCAAGGATTTCCGCCATTACAACGAAGCCAAGACTCGCTGGAGAAGACTTTTAGTTTGCGAAACTTTCGATGAAATACCGGAAAGGATTCGCAATATAGACTGCCAGTATATTCTTCAAGAAAAGTCCAATCAGTCTATCTCTATAGGAATTTAACTTATTTTGAAAGTTCTGGAGTTAGTAGGTTTAGAAATTAGATTTTAAATTTTTTACCGAAGTAGAAGAAGAGAACGTTTCTATATTGGTACGAATAGCATCACATTGTAGCAAAGTAAAATACTCTTCGCATTTTACAAGACACTAGAACAGCTCCATAATATCAGAATTAAAAAAGAACCCACCGTTCCTACTTGAACGTTGTTACCCAGTTCTTTCTTCATAAAACCCATACAAATCAAATATCTCTAAACACACTGCGACGTTCTCAATTTAGATGGAGAACCTCACCTCAGCATTACCAGATTTGCTACACATAGGCTTGAATATGGAGACGTTATAAAAACGGCTAGCGATGTCTGCTACTAGTCGACGAGTAGCGGGAAGGAACATATTGTAAAGTTTCAATATGAATGAACCATTCTGTCTTAGTAATCGCAAAGCTGCATTGACTTCTGCTTGCAGGAGGGAAGCTACTATTTCTTCTTGCTCATCAGGTCGATCCTTAAAGTGACATTTACAAAATTATCAAAGCAAGATCCTGCTTTGTAAGGTACCTGAGTGTACAAACTACCATCAGCGGTGACTAAATCGAATCCAACTCCTACAATAGTTCGAAAATAAGGACCTTCCCACTACAAAGTGTAAAAGTAGGTTAAGTGCGATTTGTTTCGGAACCTTTGTAACGTCCCCTGTCCCATCACTTCCGAACCTCCATCTCGCTGGATGGGCGTACATCAGATCATCGTCTAAAATCATGTCACAAGCTTGCAAATGTTCGCAGTATGGGTTCAGTCTGCAATATTCAGATTTTTGAACTGGCCTAGAAAAGATAGATGTTACGAGTTAGCTTCCCAATACCACTGTAAGTTTGGATGATATGTGCAAAGAAACCGATCCAAAGCTTGAATGAAATATCCTGGAGCTTCGCATAGATGGAAAGTTCTTGAAAATTAATAATGAGAAAGAGTCTACACACACAAATTCCCTTACCGAAATTGATTATCTGTTGGTTGGATCAACCTAGGATATTTACTGAGAATCTCCAGAAATTTGCAGAACGCCTGATTAGTAACCAAACAATTATAACTCTCTCTTCAAAAATTAGTATTAAAAAAAGGTAACAAACTATCTTGTACTTCAAAAGCTTCGGTGCGACATGTAGTGGATGTGTCAACCTTGTATGTAATCGCCATCGTTTTAATCCACCGTCATCTTCACATAGCGAATGAACATCTTGCTAAAATTATGAATATTTCCTTCGAACCCATATCTGAGAGTCAACCTGGAGCGTACGAACTTTTCTTCTCAGCAAGTTTATCAAATGTTTCTGGGCAGCAGCAGACTTGAGATGTTCTACTTCTTCCCCAGAACAAGCTTCAATCCATGTACCTCTTTCGCGGATAATAAACTAGAAACAAATTTTGCAAAGTTGGTTCCATAAGATTTCAAGACGAGACGACACAGAGGACAACACCATGACATTCTCACCTCTCTGTTTACGAGAATAAGCGGATCTAATACAGAATCATTATCATGTTCCTTCATCTTAAACTCCAATGTAATAAACTGATATTCATGCAGTAGTCAATATTCAACGGCCATCAACCTTCTTCCAAAAACATAACATAAACCTATCAACTCTTTTATAAACCATAAGAAAACAACTGAACAACCAAAACCTTCGAATAAAAATAAGAAAATCTGATAACAAATGTAAACGAGGAACTTATAAACTTTCAAACAATAAAACAACAAGAATCTATTGAGAAAGAGCAGCAACCGCAGCGCGCAAGTTCTTCAATTCTCCTTCCAAAGCAGATTTCTGGAAAGAAGGGGTGTTTTTTCTGCATTTCGAGAACTAGAGTTACCTTCTCTGCATTACTGGTTTGTACTCCAAGAGGAACTTTGCTAGAATAGTCTGCCCCATTTTCAAGCTCAGTTATTTTTTGAACAGCTTGTTCGTTCTTGGAAATTTTTTCTCCTAGTTTAGCCAATTCTTTTTTGAAGTCGATGACACCCTGGAAAAAAGATAAGAAGCGGATGCTAACTAAGAGAGGAACTCACTTCCAGTAAAATGAATATTGTGCACCGTGAAGATAAAGTAACTTGGGCACAACCGGTTGGAGGTTGTTCGGATGGCTTGATCACAGAAACCTTGTTACTTGAAGCGAGAGTTGCTATGACACTGGAAAGGTCCTTGAGAGTTTGGCCATCTTCTTCATCAGCAACGGAAAGATAAACTGAAAAAAAAATAATTAAAATTCGTTTGACAGCAGTTCTTTACTATCAGCCTTAGATCTGTTTGTAAGGTCGTAGTCAGAGCGAAGAGAGCGAATAGTTTTCACAGCATCAAAGGCGAAGCCAACTTGAGCTTCGAGCTTTTCATCTACTAATTGATACTGAAAATGTAATCTTTATTGACTCTAGAAAGATTTTTCCTGCCTCTGATGACTCTGGATAAGGAGCAACAACGATTGAGGGAGCATCCCCTTGTTTGCGAGGTAATCTCTGCCACAACTCTTCGGAAATGAAAGGCATCACTGGAGAAACGAGACGGAGACCCGTTTCAACACAATGAAGAAGAACAGCTCGGGCTGCATCTCGTGCCTCATCAGTTCCTGGAAATGTTCGATAAGTGAATAACATAACTTGAAATGTACCTGTGAATATGACAGGCTTTATTGCCTCAAGATAAATATCACATAAATCATAGAGCCAGAAGTTATAAGTAGCCGTTGTAGCCTGTGTGAAGTTGTGTTCAGCCAACCCAGTATCACATTGGTTGACACAATAACCACAACGAGATAAGATCCATTTATCGATAGCAGATTCTTTCCCACTGAGCTAAAATGATGTGTAATTATAAACTTTTTTGACTAGCGTGAAACATACCTTGAACTCAGCTGAAGCTTTGTATCCTTCTCCTAACTGCATAAGAGTGAACTTAACAGCTTGCCAAATCTGGAAAGCAATACAATTTTAATGTACATTTTAGCACAAGCCGACCTTATTACAGAAGAAACGATATCCTTGTACTCTGAGAACGTCCAAATTGATATCACGAGCTTGACTAGAGTAAGCCAGGAGAGCAAATCGCAGAGCATCAGTTCCACATTCTGGAATTCCTTGAGGGTAATCTCTAGCTTGACCAGCTTGAGCAACAGCAATTTCCTTAGGATCAAGATTTCCATTTAACAGTTGTTTATTAAGATCAGCCAAGGATATTCCTCTGCAAAAGTTGTTCAATTAAATAGCGAATTCTTAAAAAAAGTGATACCGAATAACATCGAGAGGATCGATGACATTTCCAAGAGATTTCGACATTTTTCGTCCATGAGCATCACGCACAACAGGGTGCAAGTATACCTTGAATAGGATTTATTGTGAGGAAGAGTTCTTAACAAAACAAATTCTACCTCCTTGAATGGAATCTTTCCAGTGAGCTCTTGACTCATGAAAACCATACGAGCTACCCAGAAGAAGAGAATATCTCCACCGGTCTCTAGCATGTGCCCGGGGAAGAACGCTGATAGATCTAATGTTTCGTTAGGCCATCCGAAAATGGCGAAAGGCCACATGCCAGAAGAGAACCATGTATCCAACACATCCTCATCTGTAACAATTGCAAAGATTCAATGAACAATAAATTTTTAAATTCAAGTTGAGATCGACACTTGCTTCTTGAGCCAGGTTCAATCTACCTGATGATTCAAATGACATTATATTTTTTAGAAAGTATCATGAGTGAGAGGAATTCGGTCGTTTTTTTTTCGTTTTTCGTCGTAAATTTTCATGGCTTATGCCACTTTTTTCTAGAGAAGACAATTAAATCGATGAGACGAAATGCTTAAAATAGCTATTAGCTCATGCAAGACCACATACCCCATTTGAGTGTTACTATTTTCGGGTCAACATTAAACTTCTTAGCAGCTTTTTGGAGAGCTTCTTCTTCAGTGTGAGCTGAAACCCAGTATTTGTCGTCACAAGGATCTCCAGCTTCAGTCTATTATTATGAGCTCATCAGAATCTGATTAAGTACTAATTACCTTTCCATCATTAATCGTGATAAAGTAAGCAGGTATTCTGTGACCCCACCATAACTGACGTGAAACACACCAATCACGACTGCTCTGAAGCCATCTATTCCAGGTAGCAACTTGGAACTCAGGAATTATTTTCAGTTCTCCATCTTCAACAGCCTTCATGGCTTTGGCGGCCATGTGGTCACATTTCACATACCACTGAGCCTTGAGAATCGGTTCAATGATATCTTTTGAACGACTACAAAAATTTGTGTGATGAACGTTATAAGTATGTAATAACTCACCTGCATACAGGGACAACCATAGCATTGTCCTTCTTGTCTCTGTACAGACCTTTTTCTTTAAGTGCTTCAGTAACAGCTCTTCTTGCGTCAAAGCGTTTCATTCCGGAGAACTGTCCACAGTTTTTACTTATCAAGCCATCATCCGTTATGCAAGTGATAAATGGTAGATTGTGGCGTTGCCCAACCTAGACGGGGATGTGAATATATAAGATAAAAAAAATAAAAACCTCGTAATCATTGTGGTCATGAGCAGGAGTGATTTTCACAGCACCAGTACCAAAATCTCTCTCAACAAACGCATCGGCAACAATGGGTAATTCCCGATCCACGAAAGGATGAACACAAGTCTTAAAAAACTGGTAACAGAGATACGTGATAGAACCGTACTTTTCCGACGAGATGCTTGTATCTCTCATCTTCGGGATGAACGGCAATAGCAGAATCTCCTAACATGGTTTCAATACGAGTGGTTGATACAATGACTTCTTCATCTAAAAAGAGATAAATATCCAGAAAACATCAAGCTGTGTCTGACCACTGTTCTTGATTTTATAGGCGAAGGAGAGGATGACACCAAATTCAATTTTTTCATCATAACCAGGCACAGGCAGAAGAGTGCGTCCAGTTAACTCCTTCTTGTCTACTTCGATATCAGAAATAGCACTGCGTAGTGCACAACTCCAATTTACGAGCCGGTTACTTCTGACATTCATAAAGTTATCATAAATTCACTTGTTAATTGCAACCTATATATAGTTCCACTTTCATGCATTCTTACGAATGCCTCTGTTACAGCTCTCATCATTTTGGGATCCATCATGAATACAGCGCGATCCCAATCAACAGACGCACCCATTCGTCGGAGCTGATCATAAATAACATCTCCTTTCCTGGAAACAAATTTTATATGAGAATTTTTCAAGAAAATACTTACTCATTCTTCCATCTCCAAACTTCTTGGATAAAACGATCACGGCCAAGATCATGACGAGACAATCCTTGTTCACGTTGAAGTCGTTTTTCAACAACAACCTAAGGCAATCGAGATTACATAAGACACTAGAACAACTAACTCACCTGGGTAGCAATTCCTGCATGATCGCATCCTGGGTTGAAAAGAGTAGTTTTCCCTTTCATTCTATTGCTAAAACAAATAAAGTTATTTCTTTAGGTTATCTGAGAACACGGACAATCTGCTCATACAATCCTCCACTGATGTAGCCAAAGCATGACCTACATGAAGAGAGCCAGTAACATTTGGAGGAGGAATACAAAGAGTGAAGTTTCCTTTAGGATTTGGCTTCCTAAATTTTATTTCAGCTATCGAAGAAAGTTGATCAAGTTACTTCAAGTCTCTGCCACCATATTCGGGTTTAAAGAACCCTTGCTTCTCCCACCATTCGTACCAAGCGGCTTCTACATACTTAGGGCTGTAAGCAGAAGGCATCTCGCCACTAACATCTATGGAAAAGGATAAAACATCGACCGGAAAGATGAAAACCTTTTTTCTCGCCGAGAGCAATGTCGGATACATATTCTAAGATTTCTTTCTTCTTAGCTTCCTTTTTCGGCTTATCCTACATTGTAAAATTAAAGCAAATCCTTTCCAGAAAATAATACCTCTTTTGGCTTGAGACTCTCTTGAGCTTTCTTCTCCGCTAACTTCTTTTGTTTTTCCTCAAACTTAGCTAACTTGGCAGCTTTTTCAGCTTCCTTCTTCAGCTCCTTCTCGGTTTTAGGCTTTGCTTCAACCATGATCTGGAAACTGAAATAAAAATTTGTAGAAAAACATGGACGATAGATAAGAGACATGGAACACAAGACTGACAAAACACTATACAAACGCCAATATAAATGGTTGCTGTCAGTCATATTGTGCAATACGCAACAACCTACACGTAAACTCAGGACATCTTCTCAAGGCAAGAAACTGGAAATAGGCTCCGCTTGTGAACGGTAAAACTCATAAAAGTAGAAAAGGAAGTTTGAATAAATATTTATTATAAAAACGGATCGAAGGATGAGAGTACGGATGCACACGGGAAACATTATGATATATGTAACATTTTTAAAAATAACAGAGAAGACTACCGAACATAAAACTATGCATAAAGTTCCAAGTGGGTTTGAAATAATTTACAACATTAAAATCGGTTCACTTCACTACTTCGAATAAGCATTGTCATTAAAAAATAGATCAAAAAAAAAGAGGAGACCGGATTACTTAAAGGCCGAGGGCTGAAAAGAGAATATTTAGATGGAAGCTGCATCAGATGACTCACCATTCTTAGTTTCCTCTGTGAAGAATCGTACATCGAAGTCAGCATCAGTAGCAAGTTTTGTTAAAAGTGGCTTGATCTCAGAAGCGAGCAAGCTATAAATGTTATATTTTAGTCTTTCTCGCGCCAAAACACTTTACCTTGGAGTTAGGACCTTTCCTATTCTGAATAAACTCTTAGCTACATTGAATCTTACATTAGGAACATCGTCACAGACCAACTAAAATCAGAACATGTTCGATGGAACTTAAGCTTTTCCGTTTACCTCTTTTACAATAGGCAAGATGTCGCGAACGGTTTGCTCACTTCCAAGAGCTTCACTGAGTGTGTTAAGACAGAAGAGACAAGTCATACGGTGCAAGTAGTTAGAATCTTTAGCCAAAGCTTGTACTTTTGGAATGATATTCTTGCTAGCCCAATCCCCTCCGAATTTCTGGGCGAGCTCCTTGAGGATAACAGTAGCAGCTTCGCGGATTGCATATACTGGAAGAGGTATTGTATATCTTAACACAAAGTATTCTATTTGTACCATGATCAGTAAGCCAGGTGAGGCAGTGTTGGAGAAGTTTCTCATCGAAGAAATCTTGTCCCTAAATTGATTCATGTAAGGTTTCGATAGAAATATGAAGCCTACCAATTGTGTAGCCAAAAGAGGCATAAATTGGACAATGGCAAGACGAACTCTCCACTTGCTGTCTTCGGCCAACTCAACAATAGCTGGGAGGAGGGATTGAGATAATTGCGAAGCGCCAATCACTTCATTGACCTTCAAATCAATCAATGTATTCCAGTGAATGTAAAAGCTGTTACCTTATCCAAACTACTGATGATGTTTAATCGAACTTCAGCAGTTGTATCCTTCAGCATTTGCATGTAAATTGGCAAGAGAATATTAACAGTATGGTCTTTTCCGACCAATGGGGCAAGACCCATGATGACACCGGCTAATTCAGTTTTTACATGCTAATCAAAAAATGATTGAAATTTGTTAACTATTTCCAAATACCTGGTTAGGATCACTAACAAGATCTTTCACAACGGGAAGAATGTTGTTAAGGATAGCTTGTTCACGTCCAGTCTTGCGCAAATTGGCGCAGAATTCTAAATAAAATGGTGAACTCATAAGCTTAACACTTAAGATTACGTTGAATTTTCTGGGCAGCGGCTCCACGGACTTCTCCTTCAGGATCTTTCAACAAGTTAGTGAAAGCTGGAACAAGCTCATTCATAGCCATTTCCTCGCCAACAGCTGATTGAATCTGAGAATAGCTTGAGTGATCCATTACTTAGAAGTATTTTTTACCTCGCAAAGCTTCTCAGCTACCATAAAGCGAACTCTCCAGCTCTTGTCATCGATCAAGTTGGTCAAAACGGGACGAACAAGATCACGTGTTTCATTGCCCAACAATGTTGAGATAGCGACACAACTTTCGACAGTGAGAAGACGAACAGAGTCCTAAACTTGGCTGAGAACAGTACACTATGTTTGAATCAAACCTGCTCATCAACAGCTAAATCGCAGAAAATGTTGTGAAGTTCTTCTACAAGGGTATCCTTGTCTACAACTTTGGCAAATTCACCGAGCTTGGCAGCAGCAGCACGGCGGACCATTGGAGTATCATCGCGACACAAGGTACGGAAGAGACTGAAATAATTAACTAGCCCAAGTAAATTATGATAAAACCAACGTTCTCAATTCCGCTTGAATGGCAGGGCTGACGCGAGGGTAAGCAACGCTGAAGAGTCCGCAGGAAGAAGTGCGTGAAGTGAACCAATCTCCTGTTATGAAAAAATTAAAGAAGTCAAAAACAAAGAAAAATACCAGTGGCCAAACGGCGGAGCATAGGAATGAAGTGTTCTTCCAAATCGGCAGTACTGTGCTTGTCAGCAATTTTTCTCAAACTATCAACAGCTTTATCGCGAACGACAGTTTCTTCAACAGTTGCCAAGTTCTCAAGAGGAGGGAGAAGGCAGTGAACGAAGTCAGCCCCACCAACCTATAATGCAAAACTCAATTTTTTGTCTACTAGAGACCCTACCAATGGTGTGAAGGTTCCCAATTGTTCAGCGAGCACGAGTAATACTTCATCCTCATCGTAGATAGTGTCTAAACGGCAATAAGAAAAATTGACAGTATAGAACGCAAACCTGTTAGAAATTGGATTAGTTCATTTCTGGTTCTTTCAACACCAAGTGCCAGAGCGATGGTGGGTAGTTTACGGATACTTAAAAGTGTAGTTGCAGAAAATCGATACTTGAACATTTAACCTGTTAAGTCTAAGTTGAACATCTTCGTTTCTAAGCTCGTCAATTAAGACAGCGATTGGGTAGAGAGAATCATCTGCTTCATCATGAGTTACAGCAGCCATTCTGCAAAATCAATTGCATATAGTGGTGAGAATTTAATCCAGCCTAAGCTGACTTATATATAAATGAATATATCAATAACAAAGATTACATTAGCTGTTCTCTTTCATTGAAAGAGAAGTGAAAAACTGATTCTGAAATATGAAAGAGAAAAAGAAAAGAAAGCTTTGAGTCATCATATTCTTTCGAAACAAAATCAAAAACCACAAATTTGAAACATCAAAACAGAACATGAAGATGAGAAAGCAATAAATAAATTTGAATAAAGGCATGCAAGTTGGGCATACTTCTTGGTGGTTGGCAAAACTACGATGTAATACGAAATACGTTTGTTACGATAATCGGACGCTCATTCCTACACTTTCCTTTAAATTTGGTTACAAAGATAATGAAAGATGCTTCCATCCACATTTGAAAAATTTAAATAAAATAAAATAAATTTAACTCAGAAACATACATAAAATAAATGCAAAAAAGTCCATCAATAACAGAGATGCGCCGTCAGCTCCGCATAGGGCTCGCGAGCCGCCAAATTTTATTTGGTCCTGCCACGACATGTAAGTTAAGCATTTTCTGGGGAGTAAGCTAATGTTACACACTCAATGAAAAGTTTATGTTCATCGCATGTTTTAATTATAATTAAACGACTTAAGCTAATGAAATTTCTTTATTTGGAATTCTTAATAATTTGAATAAATCATTTTCTCTAGGGCACAATATGGCTTCCCCATTGGTCCACTTGGGAAGGCAGATTGGATCAGCAAGTCAGTAAATGTTTCACAAACTTTAAGATGTTCTCCTTTTATAGCTTCTCGTGTTGCTGTTCGTGGTGCTGCTACGGCTGCTCCACAAGCTGCTGCCAAGCAGGAGAAGACTTCATATGGAGGGTTGAAAGATTCCGACCGTATTTTCACCAACTTGTATGGACGTCATGACTACAGAATCAAGGGAGCAATCGCTAGAGTATATTTGATTTTGATGTGTTTTCTATTTTGTATTTTTATAGGGAGACTGGTATAAAACTAAAGAGATTATTTTGAAAGGGTCTGATTGGATTCTTGGAGAACTCAGAACTTCTGGTCTTCGTGGACGTGGAGGTGCCGGTTTCCCATCAGGTATGAAATGGGGTTTCATGAATAAACCTTTTGACGGAAGGTAAGAGTAAGCCTAACTCGTTATGAACAATCTTTCTCTTAATCAGACCTAAGTATTTGGTTGTAAATGCTGACGAAGGAGAGCCAGGAACTTGCAAAGATCGTGAAATTATGCGCCATGATCCTCACAAGGTTAACTTTTTCTTCGTATTTTTCTAAATTCAGTATTTTCAAGCTCATCGAAGGTTGTCTGATTGGAGGAGTTGCCATGGGCGCTCGTGCTGCTTACATTTATATCAGAGGAGAGTTTTACAACGAAGCAGCTATTCTTCAAGAAGCCATCAACGAAGCTTACAAGGTTCGAAACTCCCGTAATTCATTCATTGTTTCATTTTATCTAAGGCTGGATATTTGGGTAAGAACTGCCTTGGTACAGGATACAATTTTGATGTCTTTGTTCATCGTGGAGCCGGTGCTTATATTTGTGGTGAAGAGACTGTGAGTTGTGTGCATTCATAGATATTTCTCATTTCCAATTTCAAGGCTCTTATTGAGTCCTTAGAAGGAAAGCAAGGAAAGCCAAGACTGAAGCCTCCTTTCCCTGCTGATATTGGTCTTTTTGGATGTCCTACAACAGTTACAAATGTCGAAACTGTTGCTGTTGCCCCCTCTATCTGTCGTAGAGGAGGAGAGTGGTTCGCTTCCTTTGGTCGTGAAAGAAATCGTGGAACAAAGGTTAGAATTTTGTTTTCTACGATTTGTAACTAAATGGACTTAGCTTTTCTGTATTTCTGGACACGTCAACACTCCATGCACAGTTGAGGAAGAGATGTCTATCCCTCTCAAGGTATGTTCTTTGTACTTCTCACTCATGTATAGATAATTTGTTCAGGAGCTTATCGAGCGTCACTGCGGAGGAGTGATTGGTGGATGGGACAACCTTCTAGCCATTATCCCCGGAGGATCTTCTGTACCACTTCTGCCTAAGTAATCTTCAGTCTCTGAGTTTATATGTTACCTACTCTTATTTAGGCACATCTGCGATGACGTGTTGATGGATTTTGATGCTTTAGTAGCTGCTCAATCTGGTCTTGGAACTGCGGCTGTAATCGTAATGAACAAGCAAGTTGATGTTGTTAAGTGCATCGCAAGACTGTCACTTTTCTACAAACACGAGTCTTGTGGACAGGTAATTAAAAAGTTGCATAAAGTTTACTTTTTCAATCTCAGTGTACTCCTTGTCGTGAAGGATGTAATTGGCTCAACAAGATGATGTGGCGTTTCGTCGACGGAAAAGCTAAGCCAAGCGAAATTGATATGTTGTGGGAATTATCTAAGCAGATCGAAGGTCACACTATTTGTGCTCTTGGAGATGCTGCCGCTTGGCCTGTCCAGGTGAGAAAGAATTGCAATATCTTATTGAGCTTACCATGTTCATTTTATAGGGATTAATCAGACATTTCCGACCAGAACTAGAGGCAAGAATGGCTGAGTTCCACAAACAAGTTTTAGCTGAGCAAGGAGTCAAGTCTCAAGCTTAAGAGAAAGTAGTTGTTTCCCAGTTTTGTAGGTCTAGATTGTTATATATCGAAGACAGTTATAGTTACGTACGTTTTTTGAGAACTTCTGTCATTTTAAAATGTACGTAACTTCCATGGCATGTAGTCTTATTAAAGTTGTTTCTGAGAGTTTTTCTTATGACGACTGTTGGGAAAAACCTGTATTTACATATATTTTATGATACAAATGAATTTTTAGATTTACCGTTTCCCTTCCTTTATACTCATGGGGAACTTTATATTAGAAGTGAAAAGGAATGCACGTTCTTCTCGTAGACAACAAAGAAATTTTCATTTCAATAGCGTTCTCTAATTAAATTTGATCAACATAATCTCAGAAAACTTTGGAAAGAATTTGACCTTCTCTTTCAAATTAGAGAAGTTCAATTGAAACCTTTGCTGGATGAATGTAACTTAGGAGAGATTCCGAGTTGTATGTGGCATATTTTGAAGATGAAAAACTATTCAAAAGTTAGAGAATATTTATGGGATTCATGAACGTGTCTAACAATTCTTGTCCAGAGGCTTGAGAATAAATAAAACTGAAGTTTGAAGAACCCAAATGCGTTGCCTTTAAGACTCATTCCAGCACTTCTTTAGCATTCTTCTTACTGCCTCCATCATGTCACATTTTCACTAATAATACTTCAGAAGGTCTTGTTCTCTGGCATCGTTTTGCCCTTTCTCCTGGACGCTCCTTTCGAGCATTCTCCTCCATCTCGCTCTCTTTTTCTCTTGCCTATTTTTGGTTTAATGTAGAAGTTGACGTGAGTGTCTGGGTGTGCGGCTTCTCCCCAGATTTCTCCTTATTTTCTTCAGAATATTTTCCTTTCTCTCTCCTCACTGCCTCGCTTCTTAATTGTCTCGCAACTTCATGCAATGCTTCATCGAACCAATGGAGGTCTCTTTTCAAACTCATTGCTGAATAGCGGAAGCTTGAATTATCAGCAGAATGAGAAATTGTCATCGCTGAAGTTATATATACTTATGCGTAGTTTATAGTTATTGATTGCCAAATAATACATATAAGAGATATCGGTAGCAATACAATAACTCCTTGCTCCTCTTGCTTACTTTAGTTTGTCAATGAACCGTTGCAGTGAGAATACATCGTTGATGAAATATTGAACTTTGTCGTATATTTGTATACTCTTCTTTCATTTTTTCCTAATCGAAGCTCAATCTGCTTTATGATTGCCCACGTCCTCGCTCGTCATAATTGTCCATCCAGTCATCATCTTCTTCTGTTTCATTGCCTTCAAACGTTTTTTTTGTTCGCTTTAGAAAGAAGATATTTTATTTGAAGTTTGAAATAATCAATAGTGATATTATTTCTTTTTCAATCTTAAACTCTCATCAATTTCTATATTCGGCACTGCCCATCTGCTTTGAAATTTCATGCAGCTCCTAGCAACGAAATCTTTTTTTATTCCATTTCTAACCGCTACTAAACGTCGAACAAATCCTTTGTTATATTTGAGTATCAAAATGGTCATTGATATTTATCTTTCTGCCATTTTTGGTTTATAAAGTGAGGGTGGGAGTAACCATTAGCCTTCCCCACCTACTCGACAACTGGCTTTCCATAAAGATTTGTTTTCTTTCATTCACCGTTCGTTCAATGATTTTTGTGACCATTCATGGTCATTTATCAAATTCGAAAATCAGACATTTCTTTTTCACTCAAAGAAATGAGACTAATTTCTTTTTTTTCTTTATTTCTCAAATAGAAAAAATTGTAAACTGGCTCATTGTCCTTAATATGACTAGGTAATCTGACTTTTCGACAAACCCAACAACGAGGTTTCTTTTTTCTCTCGAATTCGTCATTTTCAAACGACCTTGTAAGCGTAGATGTTTGGGCTTTTGTTTCCAAATAAAGTCAATAAGCTAAATGCGAGACTGCTAAGGTGATTATTCAGAAAACTGAGAATATGAAAGCGCAGCATTCCTTCATGCACATACTTCCTGCTCCAGACTTGTTGAAGGCTTTTATTTGTTTTCATTTTTTTTCTCCTGTAAATCTTTGACTCCTTGATTTTCTTCATTTTTTTCTCAAACCGTATCGAAACCACTTTTTTGCATTCTTTTTTCTTGGTCTGTTTTCAAGATTCTGGCAGTTTACTTGCCAGGAGAGAAAAAACAAATTCATAGTCACAAACGGACAATTGTCAGCTTATCTGAGAAATACTGCGAAAGCTTTTCATTTGCTAAACTCAACCCATTTATCTTTGCTTTTTTACTTTTTTGTTTTCTTTTGTTCCACGTCACACTACATGCTACATGCCTTTTTGGTCATTTTTGGCTCAAAACTGCATTTTGACATCCAACTCGATTAGTTTTATGATTTTCATATATTTGTTCTTTGTACATTTGATCTTTCATATATTTCTTTGAGTCGCATTATTTGAAATTTCAAAAGTTGATGTACTAAGCTTTCATTTCAACTTGCAAGTCTTGCAATTGTTCTGATTCGGTCTTGTTTCCTGAAATGTAATCAAGACATCTTGGTTCTTAGAAGTTGTGAGCTGAGAGTTAAAAAGCATGAATATGTTGTATACGTGTTAGAACAAAAAATTATTGGAAAAGGGAAAAAACAGAGTAAATGTAAGACGTCGAAAAAAAAAGTCAGCATAAGAGACTGAAAGAGAACGATATACGGAGTTACAAAGAGAAGGGAGAAAGAGTGAAGAGGGATTGTACAAGAGCTTTTCCTTTGTTGTTTCTTTGTGTGTTTCGCTTCCAATGTATCATCCCTATTCACAAACACCAACATGTGTCTGTCTCTTTCATGTGTTTTTATCAAAAACACAAAAAAAGAAACAAGAAACTTGCTTCTAATGTATCATTAGTAACAGCTTCATTCCACACATTTTTTCTCTTTTTTTATTCCTCCCTCTCAAAGCCATCGTTTTCTTCGTCCATTGTTCTAAAATAAAGAGGAAAAGGCTTTAGCTTAATGAATATCTCTTCCTCTTCCACAAATAATGTTAACGAGTTTTTTCTCTTTTTTTTCTGTTGCACATTTCACATATATATACATTTTATTATATATATATATATATATAGTTAGATATTCTGTTGGCTATATCGAATGATGACAATGCTGCGAAATCAGCATAAGACCTAGTGTTCACGTGTTCACGCGATGCGTGAGAAGCTTTTCTCGTATTCATTTATTAATGTTTCAGACAAGCTTAGCGGTTGTATTCATTTTTTTTTCTCTTGTCTTCTCATTTCTTCTCTTCATATCGCTTCATCTATCTATCTCTCCCTCTCTTTTTGCCATCATCTCATTTGCTCCCTCGTTTGCTGCCTTCCTCTTGCAGCCATTTCTCTCTAAAATCTTCATATTTTTTTCTTCTTTCGAATTGTGTTTGTTTTGTAAGTTTCAATCAGTGTCGCACAGAAGTTATTCAATTTTACCCCAGAGATGTCATACGATATTCAGCATGACTTCACAAGATCGTTTTTTTTATTAGAAAAATGAAAGTAGATGAAATTATAAATGAAAGAAAATACTTATTCATCAAGGTGTGTGTTCTCCTCAAAATATATTTGTTTTATGGAGAAAAAACAACTTGACATAAGTTAACCAGAAGAGAACAGAGTGAGAAAGATGAAGTGGGTTGGTTGGATTCATTTGTTTCATCCAGTAATTAATTTTGTATTCTGTAACCTTTTTTTTGTTGTGTTTTGACTGCTCTGAAACAACGGTGCTGGAAGAGGGGGGGGGGGGGGAGGGGGATTTTTGAAGTCAAAGATTGTTCTCATCTCTTGTATTTTTCTGTCGCCGTTACTTGAGTCTCTTTATCCTTTATGTTTTTACTCTTTTTCCCTCTATCTCTCATATTCTCTCTATAACACTCTCTCTCTCTATCATTGACAAAAGTAAAACGTTTTTTCATTATCTTCTACTATTTCATTCAATTACTTATTCATAGAACAAGAAACTTCTAAATAATTATTGCCTAAATTCATCAAATATTTTTTCGTAAATACAAATGTAGTTTTAACCTATCGATTTGTCTCTTTGCTCATTCCTATTAATAACGTCATTATGTTAGAAGGAAGGTAAATCTAGTCCGAGATTTTGAGAGCATAAGCTTGGGAAGAAGCTTGTTGGGATAGGAAAAGGAGTTTTCCGTTTCCAGTTCTCATTGTAGAATCAGAGGTAAGTTTGTATTGACGTCTTCAAAGGTTTCATTGCTTTGTACATAAAGAGAAGGAGAAGTAGAGGAAGAAGGAGGAATAAGGAGGGTGAATAGATTGAGAGAGGTGAAAAGAATGAGAAATGTAAGGGTTATTGTTATAGAAGCAAGAGAAATTAAGAGAGAGAGAGAGAGGAAATATGATGAATCAGAAAGAAAAGGAGATGATGACGTTCAACCAATAACGTAACTTGATATGATGTCCCAAACTGATTTCTCTAATATCTCATGAAGATGATGATGATGACGATGATGATGATGATGATGATGTGCTTGTAAAAACAATTTTCATATGAAATCGGAAACATCTTAAACAATCAATTATTTTTTCGAATATAATGTTCCACATGAAGTAGTTGACAGTGAGAGAGAATATCTGAAGATATCGAGGGAAAGAGACGATCACATGAAATAAAATAGCCGTTTCCATCTGAATGTTGCGAAAGAAAAAATAGATGGAGATTGTAAAGATTTGTTAGGAACGGCTGTTTGATTTATTACGGCTATCATCAGATCGTTACATTCTCTTGTAAAGGACAATAGAGAAATGTGAAAGGGAGGGAGGAATAGAGAAAGAAAGTGGATAGATAGGAAGAGAAGGAGGGCTAACATCCTTGCAATAGTTCAAACGCCAAATCAGATGAGCAAAAGTTATCTAACATTTTCTTCTTATTTGTAGCAAAAAAGGTTTTTAATTTCTGAACTTTTTCTGCTCTTTCTATGCATCCTCTGTCTGAATTCTTTCATTTTCTTTCTTTTTTTTTCATTTGA